GACGACAGTCTGAAATGTGTGTATGTCCTGTAGTCTGAAAGCGACCAAGAATAAAACAATCAAAACAACAACTGTGCAGCGTGGAGATAACTAATTAAAGCTAATTAAAATATGGACGATGCCTCGTACAAAATGAAACCTCCGTGTTATATTTAGTTTGTACAGAAATATTTCCTCTGGCTGCCATATCTGGCACCATCACTTAGCACAAGGCACGTGAGACAACTTGCAGACAATTAACCAACTTATAACTTAAAACCCCGCCAAAGTCCCTAAAGATCCCCACTTTAATATCTGGCCAGATTTAGTTGACACAGGACACGTTCTGCAATATTTCAGGTGAATTAACTGGCATGACATCAACATTACTTGGTGGGTCGTTAACATTAAATGAAACCAAAATAAACCGATTTTATATTTTCTAACCAGGAAAGTACACACATTTAAAAACATATATATTTATAGTTTTAAAGGAAAAGTTTAAATATGGACACCTCTCTGAATTAAAATGTTGAGCTTTTGAAAACGTGATCACAACTAAGTTGTAACCGAGGTTATAAGACAAGGCGAAACTATCACAGTGGGGTGACACCTAATGTAAAACGTATAATTTAATTACTGTCCGTTACTTAAGATATTAATTTTTAAATTAGACTTTGTGTGAATCGTTCTTAAATTTAAAAATAATAAATAAAAAACAAATTTCAGACACAGTGGGCCGTCTAAACAATCTTTAAGACACGGGACCCACAGAGGTACCTGTGTTGGCCGTCTAAACAATCTTTAAGACACGGTGGGACCAACAGGTGGCCGTCTAAACAATCTTTAAGACATGGTGGGACCCACAGAGGTACCTGTGCTGGGCGTCTAAACAATCTTTAAGACACGGTGGGACCCACAGGTGGCCGTCTAAACAATCTTTAAGACATGGTGGGACCCACAGAGGTACCTGTGTTGGCCGTCTAAACAATCTTTAAGACACGGGACCCACAGAGGTACCTGTGTTGGCCGTCTAAACAATCTTTAAGACACGGTGGGACCCACAGAGGTACCTGTGTTGGCCGTCTAAACAATCTTTAAGACACGGTGGGACCCACAGAGGTACCTGTGTTGGCCGTCTAAACAATCTTTAAGACACGGGACCCACAGTTGGCCGTCTAAACAATCTTTAAGACACGGTGGGACCCACAGAGGTACCTGTGTTGGCCGTCTAAACCTCGAGAGAGGAAACCATTTGACGTTTGATCGATAGGACTAACCCCTTTCATCAGGAGGCATAGGGGGTGGGGGTGGGGGGAGAGACAGGTCCTACTTGGGGGAGGGAGTCAGGCAGGGGAGGGGAGAGGCCGGCACTGTGAAGGGCTTAGGGGTGACCCGCAGGACAAAGGCACAGGGGGTGGAAGACGCACCGTTACTGCCAGCGTGAGCTCACCTAGGGGATCGATACTGGGCCGGCAAACTTTACAGTGAGCAGAGGAATCGGGGGGGGGGGGGGGAGGATGGGGGGGGTGATGGGGGGGGAGGGGAAATTAGGCTAAAGACGAATGGATCGACGGGTTGCAATGTGGGGACAATACGGGACGAACAACAAAGACAATTGGTGAGTGGATGCGGCTGGCTGATTGGAGACTGGATAAGCACGTGGATGGACGGACGGATGGATGGACGGACGGATGGATGGATGGATGGATGAGACTTTAAACAGGAACGAAATGTCGTTGTTTTAGTTATGAAGAAAGGAAATATTTCATCAGAAACTGATCGAAGGTACAAAGATTGGTCCATATAACAGAGGATGGGTGGGGTGGAAATAGTGGGTGGGGTGGGGGTAGTGGGTGGGGTGGGGGTGATCAATAGAGTCACCTAGGGATCGCCAATGCTAGCCTGTAAACAGGCACATGACTTTTGTTATATGTAGCCTGTAAACAGGCAGTTACGTAATCTACCACTGTATAACAGTGTAACTGGACTTATTATTTCAGCGTGCTGGCTAAAATAGGGCATCACTGTAGGGGCATTGTTTATTCTAATGTTGACATCTTTTTAAGGGAATTATTTACCTTAAAGCTAACATCTTAATATTCAACATATATACTGAGTTTTTAATTGTGAAAAACAAACAAAAGTACCTGTAGGCCAATTGTTTTAAACATGATTGAAATTTAACTTGACATAGAATACTGTAGCTGATAGAAACTTTAAAACTGAATGTATTAAAAAAGTACGGGAACTTTAAAACTGAATGTGTTAGTAAAATTACGGAAACTTTAAAACTGAATGTATTGGGAAAATTACGGAAACTTTAAAACTGAATGTATTGATAAAATTACGGAAACTTTAAAACTGAATGTATTGGTAAAATTACGGAAACTTTAAAACTGAATGTATTGGCAAGCTGATGGAAACTTTAAAACTGAATGTATTGGCAAGCTGATGGAAACTTTAAAACTGAATGTATTGGCAAGCTGATGGAAACTTTAAAACTGAATGTATTGGCAAGCTGATGGAAACTTTAAAACTGAATGTATTGGCAAGCTGATGGAAACTTTAAAACTGAATGTATTGGCAAGCTGATGGCAACTTTAAAACTGAATGTATTGGCAAGCTGATGGAAACTTTAAAACTGAATGTATTGGCAAGCTGATGGAAACTTTAAAACTGAATGTATTGGCAAGCTGATGGAAACTTTAAAACTGAATGTATTGGCAAGCTGATGGAAACTTTAAAACTGAATGTATTGGTAAAATTACGGAAACATTAAAACTGAATGTATTGGCAAGCTGATGGAAACTTTAAAACTGAAAGTATTGGCAAGCTGATGGAAACTTTAAAACTGAAAGTATTGGCAAGCTGATGGAAACTTTAAAACTGAAAGTATTGGCAAGCTGATGGAAACTTTAAAACTGAAAGTATTGGCAAGCTGATGAAATTATACAAGTTCCAGAGGCCAAGGGTTCTCAAATAAAAGAATAAAACAAAACAAATGTGCAGAAAATGTCCCCCGGCTTAATAGGCGTGTATTGCCGCCTGCTAAAATATTAACCGTTTGACGGTAGCAGAAGACGGCATTGTCTGAAGTCTGGCACAAAGACAGGTGAGGCGGGAACAGACGGAACCCCGTGCTGGTCTTTTATGCACGGTTCCAATGTCCGGCCAAAGGGGGGGGGGGAGGGGTGAGGGTAGGGGGGGGGGGCAGAAAAGAGGGGGGCGTGATCATGTGTCATACAAGTCTCAACAGGATTTTATTCCAAACTTCAAGCAGACATTTCCATGCTGGTGTGATAGGGCCGTGATAGAGTTAACATTTCAAACAACAAACACCTTTCTGTATCAGCTCTAGACTGGTATACTAACTACCTACATTTCAAACAACAAACACCTTTCTGTATCAGCTCTAGACTGGTATACTAACTACCTACATTTCAAACAACGAACACCTTTCTGTGACAGCTATACTAACTACCTACAGCTGATCTCTCATTGCAAACTACTGAGATGACGTTATATGCGAGTAGCTATAGTAATCAGTCCTCCAAGGATACTCAGTCCCACTTCAACCAGGTAAAACAATGGAGCCTAATGACCACCCCACAGGTAGCCTACCTCCCCACCCCCACCACCATACAATAGCTTATACACAAGTATTTAGGCTGCATTAAAACCTAAAAAAATTACCTCCCTTACATGAGGTATTGATCACCTCCCCCCCCCCCCCCATCTCTCACCTAGCGTCTTTGTCCCCCCGAATGTTGGCATAATTGCACATCCTGTACAGCAAGAATTTCTTGACTGTTGCAGCCCACGGCACCCCACTTGCTCAACAATGACGTTCTTCCGGGGCCGCTATTTAAATTTTGATTATTGCTTTTTTTTTCTTCTAAATTCACCAAATACCCCTGGCATTTCCTTACCGGTAGACAATGCCATTTTATGGCTCTCCTAAGTATATACTTATAAAGAGAGAAACCAAGGCAAGATATATGTAAATAGTTGACATCACATACGCCTAATTATAGCAGGTGTAGGTTTTGTATTGTTTCAAGTTTAGTGATGACTGGGATATCTAAAGCAGAGCTAAAGTCTATCATACATTTATCCGTCATAAACTGTCATTATATCAGTCAGAGACTGCTCCGTCGTAAACTGTCATCACAGAACGGATTAGTCCGGCAAAAGATAGTCTGTCATACACTGGTCTGACAAATAGACTGAGTTTGGTCCAAATAGAAGTCTACAGTCTAGCTACCAGTCCAAGCGACCAAATATTCTTCCTTTTACCAAATGTCACCACACCACTGATCTATCTATTGCAGTTTCGTAGTAGGTGGGTGATTGGTGAATTGTTCTGCATTTGATTGTGAACTTGTTAGTTTTAGAGCAAGCTTTTCTTTTTTTTTTTAAATTTCAATTGCTGATAATTAAGAGGAAGAGGTATTATGGTATAGCTAACAGACAAATATGAAATGAATCACTGACAATTATGAGATGGATTACTGACTATAGAATGAAAAACTGTCATTGATGAGATAGATTATTGACACATTACGACATGAATTACTGTCAATTAAGGGATATTACAAAAAATGAACAGCAACAATAAAAAGAACCCATTTATAATTTTAGCCTACTTAACAATGCAGTGGTCATTAGGTTCACAGAGCCCCCCCCCCCCCATACACCGGCAACAGCTTTACTCTGACCAACCCTCCCCGTCCCACAAAGCCGACATTCAGGGGTGCGCGAGCCATTTGTCGGCTGTATCAATAATATATTAGGCTGGTTGGGCTCTTGAATTATTTCATCTTTCCTACAAGCATACACCCCTCACACCCCCTGTACAGGAGGGGGGGGGGGGGAATGCTGGTTATGTCCACAATGTTTATAATTTAGAGTTCCAGCGTTAAAAGGGTTAAAACAATTCTGTGTTAGAAACTTTTAAAAAATCCCAATGTAATTGAAAACATTATTTTACACTGAGTAGACTGGTGACGCTCACTTACCGGAAGTGGTTCGAGGCCAAGGCGCATGCGCTTAGCATTCTGACTTTCGTTTTCACAAGCTGTGGCTAACAGACTCTCGGCTGCCGCTGACGTCAGATGGGGCGGGGTGGGCCTGAGCTGGGGGACGAGACGGGGGTCGTTAGTGGGAGAGAGAGACAGGCATGAAATAAATATAAGTTGCATTCAACACTGCATGGAGCTGTACACGTTGCAAGCATTTTATCACCTCGTCGCATTCTTTTTTTTTTCTCTATCCACTCCGCTGAGGTCTAAATCATTTTTTTGTTGTGTTTTTACAAAAAAATAAAAAAAAAAGAAAAGAAAATCTCACATCCAATTCCTAAGGCGAATTCATTCAACTTTTTATTTGCTCACTGAATGCATCCAACACTCACAAGTGACAGGCATGCGAATCGCGGGAGAAAAAAAAAAACTTTTCTACGGAAAACTTCCCTACAAATATCTCCTAAAGACGGATCACTGGGGCGAGACGCAAGCGACACAGTTGAATACCGAATCACTCAAGCGTAACGAGGATTTAAAAAAAATTATCCTGCTTTCTCTGTCGTCTATGGATGACGATGGATGAAAGCGAAATATTGACATCCCCTTACAAAGTTGAAATTATGATGCAGACAAAACAGCACCCACATCGTTTATTCAATTATCAAGTTTATTTTCTTTATACAGTCACTTCTAAAGAGTCGTTTATCAAAGGTTTTAATTCACCGCCGTTATGTGACGCAATCGCCTCATTTGTGACGCAATCGCTACTCTATCCCGACGCTACATTTAAATTTTGTTTGACGCGAGTCAGTCGCAACTAGTGTGTGACATACACATTAACAATTCAAGTTATGGGGTGTCACGTGATGGTGTCAGCCTGTCACTACGTCACTGACAACGTGACATGTCAAACAACGAAGTGACAGGGGTCGTAGAGAACCAGAAGAACACTAACCTACGGAGAATCCAGGTATCAACCAGGTATAGCTAAGTATCAACCAGGTATCAACCATCTATCAACCAGGTATCAACCATCTATCAACCAGGTATCAACCATCTATCAACCAGGTATAGCCAGGTATCAACCAGGTATCAACCATCTATCAACCAGGTATAGCCAGGTATCAACCAGGTATCAACCATCTATCAACCAGGTATCAACCATCTATCAACCAGGTATAGCCAGGTATCAACCAGGTATCAACCATCTATCAACCAGGTATAGCCAGGTATCAACCAGGTATCAACCATCTATCAACCAGGTATAGCCAGGTATCAACCAGGTATCAACCATCTATCAACCAGGTATCAACCATCTATCAACCAGGTATAGCCAGGTATCAACCAGGTATCAACCATCTATCAACCAGGTATAGCCAGGTATCAACCAGGTATCAACCATCTATCAACCAGGTATAGCCAGGTATCAACCAGGTATCAACCATCTATCAACCAGGTATAGCCAGGTATCAACCAGGTATCAACCATCTATCAACCAGGTATCAACCATCTATCAACGAGGTATAGCCAGGTATCAACCAGGTATCAACCATCTATCAACCATCTATCAACCAGGTATAGCCAGGTATCAACCAGGTATCAACCATCTATCAACCAGGTATAGCCAGGTATCAACCAGGTATCAACCATCTATCAACCAGGTATCAACCATCTATCAACGAGGTATAGCCAGGTATCAACCAGGTATCAACCATCTATCAACCATCTATCAACCAGGTATAGCCAGGTATTAACCAGGTATCAACCAGGTATCAACCAGGTATCAACCAGGTATAGCCAGGTATCAACCAGGTATCAACCAGGTATCAACCAGGTATCAACCAGGTATCAACCATCTATCAACCAGGTATCAACCATCTATCAACGAGGTATAGCCAGGTATCAACCAGGTATCAACCATCTATCAACCATCTATCAACCAGGTATAGCCAGGTATTAACCAGGTATTAACCAGGTATCAACCAGGTATCAACCAGGTATCAACCAGGTATCAACCATTCATCAACCATCTATCAACCATCTATCAACCAGTATAGCCAGGTATATGCCGCCCAACCCATATGTCTGTACTCAGACAATGACGTACAAGCTCTAGACGACCTGACCACGGAGCTAAATCTACACATACGACTTAAATGTTATGTTAAAATTTATTTTTTCTACTTACTGGCTCCCAGCCATTGTGCTCTTTGGATCTGCGCATGCGCCGACACGACTTCAGGTAGGTCCGGATCCGTTTCCGTGAGCGTTCGTGGAACTCCGGGAACTGCCTGTCGCAGGCTTCTAGGATGGCCTGGATCTTGTCCTTGGGTTGTTTGGAGATGGGCACCATCCGATCCAGGTTCTCGTCCACAAACAGGCGCACGAACATCTGGGATAGGGGGAGGTCACGGTCATGAGTGGTCCAAGTATAGGGGTTGTAAGGGGGGGGGGGGGGGGCAGGGTCATGAGTGGCCCAAGTATAGAGGTTTTAGGGGGAGGGGGGAGAACCAACGTCATGAGTGGTCCAAGTATAGAGCTTTTGGGGGGGGGTGGCAAGGTCATGAGTGGTCCAAGTATAGAGCTTTTAGGGGGGGGGGGGTGGCAAGGTCATGAGTGGCCCAAGTATAGAGGTTTCAAAGGGGGGGGCAAGGTAATAAGAGGTGCTAGTATGGAGTTTGTAAAGGGGGGTGCGGTGTTTAGGAGTCCTATCAAAAACTAGAGTCGGGGACAAAGATGTCTCTTTGTGTAGAGGTATGTTGAACGTCTATAAGTAGCTAATAAACAATGGGCCAAACCCCCGATATTGTAGACTGGTTTAGGCCAGGGATCAAAAGAGTTTAAAAACGTAGAAATGATTTGTCCAAGTACCGCGTCCATTGAGCTTTAATGAGACTCAACGCTGCATTTGATCACCCAACAAAGTGGCTTGTCACTGATTGCTCAGCCAATCAATACACGACCTGGGCCCAAACACCCATCACACGTGCCCATTTGTCATGTCAGCCGGGCCCAAACAGTCAAACTCGCGGTCACGTGGTCGGGAGATAGTGCCAGACAAACTTACATTAAAGGCCTTTAACCGCTCGGGGTCAATGTCCTGACCTACTGGGATCTTTTCATCGTCATCATTATCATCATCGTCGTCATCGTCTTTACCTTCACTTGTTTTGGTCATAGCGCTCTGTTGGATGGAAAAAAACACGTTATACATATATACATATACATATACATATATATATATATATATATATATATATATATATATATATATATATATATATATATATATATATATATATATATATATATATATATATATATATATATGTATATATATATATATATATATATATATATATATATATATATATATATATATATATATATATATATATATATATATATATATATACATATATATATATATATATATATATATATATATATATATATATATATATATATATATATATATATATATATATATATATATATACATATATATATATATATATATATATATATATATATATATATATATATATATATATATATATATATATATATATAACCATAAACATCAACACTTACAAAGTAGGATCATTACCTTCCAGCTAACGAATGAAACGAATGTATTGTATAGTTATGAAGGCAACAAAGTAGTTTTATCATGTTTAATCACATGACAATTAGCGTAACACGATCTAAGAGTTTGAATGAATTAATTACAGCGAGAAATAAATGTCTACTTGTCAATCTCAGGTATCAAAAGCCTGCATTAAGAATATCAGGTTATTTGATAAGATGTGAGGAGGGGGGGGGGGGGGTGTTGTACTTCACTAGGGTGATACATTTCAACATTGTGACAATATAATGGGAGGATTGGGGGGGGGGAGGGGGCCTTAGCAAACTTGATGTATGACACTGATATAGATATTGTGTCTTCACAAACAGAAGACTGAGTCATCAACAAATATAACAAATGACATAATACAACAAATGACCTTATGTAACAAAGACCTTATACAACAGATGACCTGATACAATAAATGACCTGAACCAACAAATGACATAATACACGAAATGACCTAATACAACAAATGACTTACATCACCACTTTCACTACTAGCCCGTCTCTTCCTCTCTGGGTGACCTTTAGAAACTTCTGGAATTTTTCCTGGAACTGGCGAGGTTTTCCTGGAGGAGACTTCCTCTAGAGGGGAGTCGACTCGGTTCTCTGCTTCCATTGGTTGGGGTGACGCTCTTCTCGCTGACGTCATACTATCGTCTGCTGGGGGTTCTGGGAAGACACGTGACAACCAACATGTCAGCAACACAATTCAAACTTAACAAAAAAAAGTTGGAGCTAGTGGGATTCGTTCCCGTAGCAAGTGACTTGAACCGTCACGGTTGGACTTGACTCAAACAGCAACAAAACTACTTCCCATACTCCAGTAAGTTTATTCTAATCTTATAAAAAGTTACATTTATAAAAAAAGCGTTTAATATTTAAAAATCCATGAATTAAAACATAATCTAAATATGATAATCAAGTTAGGTTGTTGTTTGCTAAACAATCATCTGAGGTCAACTTTGAGAAAGTTTCTATCATAGGCTGTCATTCAAACAGTGTTGGGCAAGTCTCTCATTGGTTGATCCTGATCACGTGCGCGAGGCTGTGGTCATATTAAACTCAACTGATACAAGTGTTACTTCCGGTGCAATATTGTTGGATCAATGTTTTGTCACAGCAGAATTGGCGGGAATTGATTGCAAACAAAACAAGCCTAGTCTGGCGCAGGGACTTTTGAACCACGTGTCAAAGCTCCCGCAGACGGCAACCTTCAGACGGGAGCGGTGACAAGTTCCATTTAGATCAAATAAAAATTTGACAAGTTTGATGTCAAGTTTAACGCTACACAACACTAGAGAAAGATGAAGTAGAGTTCACGTGTCAGCGAGGCCATAAGTGGTTGGTTGTCAACAAACGGTTAGGGTGTATTGTTTTTGTACTGAGGTGAACCGCTGGTTGGCAGTCGAAGCTTCACAACTGTAAATAATTGGGGAGGGGCGGTGGGGAATGGGGACTGAGGGTGGGGGGGGGGGGTGGTGTTAACACGCGCATATTTAGTTTTTTAAACCAAATGTTATTTTCTTTATCCACAATGTAAACAACACACTTGAAGTGGTATTTAAACAAAATTTAAAAAAAAATTTGTTTGAGGCCTAACTACCAAAGTCCACTGATGCTAGCTGGTGTCTGTAGTTTTTTAACGACATGGCAATTTTGGAAGGCTAGGGCGTCTCCTCAGTCGAAGATGGTATATCTTATTTTTGGGGTAGAGCAGCCCCAGGACGTCTCCTCAGTCGAAGATGGTAGATCTTATTTTTGGGGTAGGGCAGCCCCAGCTACCCACAGAGCGTCTCTCCAGCCAGACAAAGACAGTAGATCTTATTTTTGGGGTAGGGCAGCCCCAGCTAACCACAGGGCGTCTCTCCAGCCAGACAAAGACAGTAGATCTTATTTTTGGGGTAGGGCAGCCCCAGCTAACCACAGGGCGTCTCTCCAGCCAGACAAAGACAGTAGATCTAATTCACGGTCACACGGAAGACAAAGGCAAACTTATTGCAATATATTGGCCATAGCGTTCAGCGATATTGACCACTGGCGGTTTGATACTGGACTCTGACGATACTTCGCTGTCCTACGACACTATCGATACCTTACTGACCACCAACTAGGCTATGATACTCAATGTTTACTGGTCATCTACGATACTTTGTAGATGCGATATTGTTCACTGACCAAGTTTTACTGACCACACATAGCGATACACTCAATCGACGATTCGATACCGTCCACGGACGTGAGCAGAAGATGAGAATATATTAGAAGAAACACACATGCGAGCTCACCACCCCCTCCCCGCCCACCCCATCCTCTCCGCAGCGCCCCTCCCCTCCCGGCACTAAAAAACAGCTTAGGATTAGCTCCAACAGGGGAGCGGCCTCAGCCCTCTTTTACTCACACCAACCGCCCTGAGACCGCTCACGTCCATGGGATCGATACAGGTTGTCTTATCGTCTGCAAGATTTGCTGTCGCCCGATACCCCTGACACCACCCAGGCTTGTGCACCAGACAATGGGGTGGGGGGGGGGGGGGGGAAAGGGGGGGCAACTCCACCCATGACAAACTAAGGCAAGCCATTCTACTCGTTCACCTATCACATTTAGAACCAGAAAATTCTAGCTGTTTCTAAGTGTTTCTGTCAAATACTCCCCCCCCCCCCCCAGCATCGTACACCACCCCCTCTCTTAACCATTCAGGTAACTCTGAAGAACCCACGGTTCTCTCATACGGGTCATACGGGTCCAGACCCAGGAAATTATTCCAGCGGTACTCCCAGTGGCTCTTGTCACAATGGCGAACCGAGTGTGTTGCCATGGCAGCCAGCGTAAACAGTGGCAGCACCGTTTACCTGGCCGGCGCCTAAAACCCTTGTTTGAACCTTAGGTAAACTTCATCATTACAAAAGCCAGCACAACAATGCACCGCTCACATACCAAACCAAATCTTCTAGTTACTGAACATTTTCAACAAATTAATCGTGTTTATTTATGGTTAACAACTAACAACAGTTTGAACCGATAGCATAACACCAATAACCCATTTCATAAAAATTAAACTGGTCGACTTAGTCAATAATTAACTTGCCACACACTATCTATATACAACTATATATATATATATATATATATATATATATATATATATATATATATATATATATATATATATATATATATATATATATATATATATATATATATATATATATATGTGTGTGTGTGTGTGTGTGTGTGTGTGTGTGTGTGTGTGTGTGTGTGTGTGTGTGAGTATGTAAAATTCTCTCTCTCTCTCTCTCTCTCTCTCTCTCTCTCTATATATATATATATATATATATATATATATATATATATATATATATATATATATATATAGTATATAGTATATAGTATATATATATATATATATATATATATATATATATATATATATATATATATATATATATATATATATATATATATATATATAAGAACAATTTCTAAAGTCTAAGAACAATTTACCTCATTAAATCCCCCCCCCCTCCCCCGTGACGCTACTTACGTACACAAAATGTAATCCATTATGTAATGTTGTCACGAATACCTGGCCAGCGATCACGGCGCTGCCTATGTTCACGGCAGCCACGTGACACGCTACCTGCAGCCTCCACTGATCCGTTGACTAAAAGACCAGCAGACGACAGAGTACCTGTATCCGTCACACGGTGCTTGCATGTCGGGCCACCATTACAACAACTCGCCCCGACCACCAGTCACTTACATGCCTGGCGTGGACTTTAGGGGCTAATTACACGTGTAATCACCATTACTCATGTAAGCTTAATCAGCTGTTTAGTAGCGCGGCATGTCTTAACCCCCACTCTCCCACCTACACGACAGAGCAGAAGTGAAAATACCACCGGCTTTAGCTGTCAACACTCGGCTAGGATTAACGAGGTGACTGACAGACGTGAGGGACCAAACGATGCCCCATGGTAGACATATTCAAACTCTCATTGACGTTGTTTTTTTAAACATAGGGCTAACTCCGCTATACCCAACACATTCCGGAACAGTTTTATTAAGACATTTTTTGACCCATCAATGGTGTATCTTGTAGTTAACTGTCTTCTGTATGTGAACAATGTGCTGTGACTGACACAACACCACCGTTAAATTAAGATCAAGTTGCCAACATAGTACATTAGTACAGCAACTAAAATATAAGCCAATCAGCTTTAATAATCGGTTAGTCGTTTCGATTTTTTTTTTCACAATTGAAAACATTTTTTTCTTTTTCAAAAAGCTAACGTGATTTTATTCAACGTTTTGAAAAAAAATATAATAAAATCCACAATTTGCTGAGAAATTGAGAGAATTTTATTTTTAAGAAAAAAAAAACTCCCACCCAAATACAGTTATGTGGATAAAGATTCCTACCTTATGTTGAACGGGCTATGTATCCTAATGTAGACGCAGGGAGGAGATAACTCGGTGCTGCCACCTAGGGGAGGAGCGCTTGTGTGAGGAGCTGGCACCCTCCGATGTGAACGTCGGGCAAATGAAGAGGGATCGACACGGTTTTCGTCAGGGTGAGCTCGCAGGGACACGGGGAGTGTAGGGGGAGCAAGGTGGACACACACAGGAGGTGGGTGGCGGGAGGAAGGTGACACGCGGAGAGGTGGATCAGGCGGGGAGGGGTGGGTGGGAGGCGGGGGACGGGGAGACAAGCGGTGCGCGAGTAGACCCCGTGAGTCTGTGGCCCTCCCCCCCACCCACCCACTCACCCACACTGCCAGCGAGGAAACATAGGGCCTAGAGCTGAGCCCTGCTATAGGTAGAGCAGATCAATGGAGGAACTCACTCCCCCCTCTCTCACCCCCCTCTCCTCCGACGTGGCACAAGTTATCTCAACAAGTTCCAGTGACATCATCCTCCCTACACCACTCTATACACAACTTTTGTTACTGTCAAAATATACTCTCACAATATTTATTTCAATACTCGCCATTTTCTTGGACGTACGCGCTTCTTTCTGTCAGATAAAACAGACCCATTGTTATTTGTGTGTGTAGAGGGGGTAAGGATAGAGAGGGCTCTGTCTTGAAAACATCAGATCATATAGTGTTTAATTTACTCACCTAATGTATTTAATTACACACGATTGGTATGGCAACTAATGAATGATTGGACTCTTTCAACTTTCGGGTGCATACATACATACATACACACACACACACACACACACATATATATATATATATATATATATATATATATATATATATATATATATATATATATATATATATATATATATATATATACACGTGCACTATCAAGGTAAAATAATTTTCAGTTGAACCGAGTGACAGCACCCAAGACACCCTAAAGAAACTCTAGCATGATTTGTCCACGGTGTGTGTGGGTGAACTCTCCTGCATATAATTGAAAAAAAAAAACCTAGCGTGGCTGACCACATCTCAACTGGCTGTGTCGAGTTGTCAGCTGCTGCAACAGCAGGAGATAGAGAGTGGACAGTCCTGCTCCCGGTGTTATTTTAACCGGCACGTCAGCGAGCCGGTCTAAAAGCCCGGCACCGGTTCTGTTTATTTAAGGTGTGGCTAAAGTGCGAGCTTTTTAGCAGACGACTCCGTGCCGGTGTGGGTTGACAGAAAATCATTTTTCCG